GAAATGAACAATGATCAAATTTGGTGATCGTTTACAGGTGCAGTCATCGTACTATCACTCGGAGGAGAACTCCGCTTTGCAACAACCACTAGCTGCATTACCTAATGCAAAAGCATCAAACACTGAAAATATTTCGATGAATAACAGTAATATGAATGATAACAGTGCGATCTCGTCGGATCATTCATCGACATTCTTCTCACCGGATGGAGTGTACGGAGTCAAGTCGCTTCTCAATGACTGTAATGACGCTCCTTTGGCCACTTCCTCACCTATACCTCCCTCCTCATCAACATCACCAACAACCTCTTATTTGCACAATCAATCGGTTATTTTTAGACGCTTTTCACGTTTTGTTTCACAAAGCATTTTCTTGTTCCTATCGCTTATCACCAATCGCTTTCAATTGCTCAGTTCGATAAATCCGTTGGATGAGATGTATAGAGAAGAGTACGTATATGAACAGCTGGTTAAACTAGTGTAGTGTGGGGACGGTAAATTTTGCACTCAGGAACCCTGAAAATGTTGTCGGCTCAAAAAAAGTTAGAGACGGGATTCGGGGACGATGTCCGCGAAATTCCCCGATCTCGGCATCACACTAAGTTAAACAAGTCATGTTAAGATGCGAATAGGTTTGACAGGAAAAAAAAAAACGGCTTTGATCAAAAAGTGTATTCATTTTATGTTGTGCTAACAGATTTGTTGTGGTGCTTGAGCAAGTTTATGTTGATGTGATATGTGTTCCTTCGAATGGACCGCATGCTTTCTCGTGTGCATTCTCGATTCACCTTCTCACTCTTATATCCCCATCAAAAACATTTCTTTGCCGNGGTAACAAATTGATCATTGAATTGACAATGAGTTGCATGTACCCGTTTGCAAATAGCGTATGCAGCATATATTGTGTATTGATGTATTGCCATTGCAAATGATTCGTTGAAGAACGACCTAACAATAAATATTCTATCAGTTATGTTGCGCGACGATGCGCATTTAGCCGTTATTTGAATGTGAATGAGTGCTTGGATCAAGTTCACAAGTCGCGTTCCTTTCTGATTTAAGATTATGTTTAGATTTGTTTAGTATGTATTCAGTATGTGTTTTGCTAGCGATTTGTTTTGATAGCGATATTCATTATATTGTCTCGTTAAGGTTACGTGAAAGTCAAAGCGTTGTTGTTCCATAATGTGTTCTCAGATTCGCTCATTAACAGCTAAGCATTAACAGTAAACCTCGTCATTAAGTGATTTATAAATGCGATATTTTACTCCTTGTCATTGTTTTCCTGATTTCATAACGTTTGTTTGTCACACTTAAAATGAATGTCTTTCCCTTATTTGTGAATCCTTTGTGCTTTTCAAGCTTCACGGTAAGAGTGATTGTTTGTTTCAAGCCTTCCCCGTAAACTAAGCAGTTCTCAGTTATCGAATGTAGATCATCATGCTATTGTCAGAATGTTTTAATGGAATATGGCATTGTCTGATCTAGAATGATATTTCCAGGTGGTACGAAAAAAAAACACTTTCTTTAATCCTTTGGCTTAATTAGTAAACCGAATTTATTATGGACCTCGTCATTATTAGGTTGAGAACTTTGGATTCGAATTCTGTTGATACTGCTAATAAAATTTTGTTTCAGTTAATTCAGTCACACTTTCAAAAGTTCCATTTTTGTGACAAAACTCCATCGACCGTGCCTTTCCCACTGAAATCATCAGTTTCTCGAAACGCTTGACCTCCCAACCCTCGTCAATACAATACTTTATGTTGTTCTGATTGATATTTCATCAATCAGAATTAACTTCGCTTTTTCGTTCATGTTCAATGTCCTGTGTCAAGTAGTCTATTCCTTTAATGCTTTTACTTTGTCATTTTACAAATGCCTGAAAATTAATACCTAAATACGTGATCAGAAGCCGTTTATGAGTCCTGTTATCCTAAATAAGGCCAATTGAGGGGGAAACGTTTCGTTCACTTCAGTGGTGAATATTTTGCACTGAATAACGTTCGTATTCAAGATTAACCTGATTGTGTTCAGCAAGTAATGCTGTAGATTTATGTGCATTGTTTATGCTAATGATTTCGATCCATCAGCAAGTAGTACTAACGTTGAATAAGTAGTACGTGTTATGATGACGGGTTGAGATGATCACATCAAAAAGACTATTGCAATACTGAATGACGATTGAGTGGTTGCATGGATGCAAGTTTATTTTGGTGGGATGCTAACAAGAATTTGGGCTATAAGTTGTGCACAATGAGCAAATATAGGTTATATGCAAATAGGTACAGCAATTGTGCAGAAATGAGATTTTGACTCGAATGGGAATTGAATGTTAGTTTTTTGGTATGTCGATTAAAGACTCGGGTTGCTTAAATCAGTTTCATTTTCAGGTTCGTCCCTCAACATCGCAAATGATGTCAGTAGCACCCGCAGTACCTTCAAGAACCACCGCAACCTCACCGATCAGCAGTAACACGAGTTGCAGTCGTCCTGTTCCGCCACCAGTTGCACCTAAACCGAAACTAACAACTCATAAACAGGTTCGTATCGATGATCAGTTCGTTGTTTAACGTTTTAAAATCCTTTCGTTTGATTTCTACTTCTGTGTTTGATTTCTTTCCAGTGTTTCGCTCATTTTTTTTTGGGGTGAATTAATCCACTTGTGGCTTCTCTTCACAAACTGAACGCACGTCAACAAATTTTTATTAATGCTTTCGGAGTGTCACTTGAAATGACTTTCTATGATAAGTGAGGATTGGTTTGCCGAGGCGTTATGTTCAACAAATTTATGTTTGAATGGAGTATGCTCATTGCTTTAATTAACCGTGTGCTTGAATTTGCTCAGAATGGTGGAATTCTTAATGAAATTGTACCGCTTGCTTCGTTAGATGATCAACTTGATTCTGAAAAAACCGTCATGGCATCTTCTCAGGTTATTATTATTATTATTATTGAGTATTATTGTCTTTGATATTGGCATTTTATTATTACTATGCCATCATTCGTTTTTTACTTGTTCTACTGCATGCTCCAGTTTTACAAGCTTATCACTCACAAAGCAATCTCGGGTTATCTGTTCTCCTTCCTTCTTCTACCTCTTATGGTTTTCTTATTTTTTTATTAGTCGTAACGAGAAATAAGAACTAGCAAATTTGATTCGACAAAAAGAAAAGAGGGTTTTGAAGTGGTCAACGAATCAGGAAACGTCTTCGAGTCGATGGAGTTGCATGAGATTGTGCGAAACTTTGCAAATATCATTCAGAATCTATCAAATTTGATTGCTTCTGTTTGGCCGTGAAATATCTATCCATCCAGTTCATTTATTTGATTTTGAATTGATTGATGAAATGAGATCCAGATGCTCGATTACAGGTGTCAACCCCGTCAACACCGAACTCAAATCCTGAACGAATGGCATTTTCGTCGAAATTGAAAAAATTTGAACGTGAAATCGAAATCAAAAGGACCACCTCACCGTCGACTGCGACTGCACCGCTTTTACCCGGTGAGAATAATGAACTCTACGTTAACTTTCATAGACGATCCGTTCGTTCATCGTTGATTTAACTGATGTTGCATTTAAGTGCGAATTTGTTTTGTGTACTGAGCATCATTCTTACTGAAGAACACTTTCATTTCGATGAAATTCCTGGACTGATGAATATTTTGTATCATTACTTATTGGGGTTTAGGATTAAAAGCTTAAAAATGAACGACCCATTTGGACAAACACACTCTTTGAATTCATTTTGCGGTCAATCAGTCGCACATTTCAAAAAAATTCAGAGCTTGATTTTAAGGTGAATTTTGTTGTCATTAACATAATTGTTTTCATGCTGTTCGTTAGTCTAATTGCAGAAGAGATAACGACAGAACAAACTTTTTACATCTAAAACTGAAACCGTTCCCAATTTGAATGTCTGTTACACAAAACCAATTCATCAACTTAGCACAACTAAGAGCCGTATCTCTCTGATTGATGCATTCACAACTCAAGCTTATTTCTGTTTTTAATTGAGTCACATGAATTATTGCTTCATTCGCACCACTAATTTATTGACGATGCATGCTGCATGCTTTACTCACATCACATTTAATATGGGCAAAGGACCTTTCGGCGCCTGAACGTTTTGGCTTTGATGCAAGCAGCATTCGAACGATTCAGGCATAGAACGCAGCTGATTGCGCCATAACTTACGGCACCAAAACGTCTCATTCCCGTCCGAATTACATTGCACTGTTATACCGCCCGAATTGATTGCTCAAATTGGCGGTTTCATTTTCGAACTAACGTTCACTTGAATTGTCGTGAAAGGTGTATTTCTGTTCATAAATATTCTTCGAATGTTGTGTCGAGGTGACAGAGTTGAATCAATTTTCATTGTTGTTAAGTTGATATCGTTATCACGTGGTGATATTATCATTCTCAATGTTCCTTTTACATATTCACTGTTTCGAATCGCTTCACTTCGTTCAATATAAACTCATTATTACATCGTGCACTTTCTATCGCTCATCAAGCATATTCTTCTTCAAGCAGAATAGAGTTTGGCTAATATGCATGCATAATTACAACGCACCACAAATACTCCGAATTCGAACGATCCGCATTCACTCGAAGTTGATCTAATCCTTGAGTGAAACAATCCTAATTTGATTCGTGCAAGTATCTCGGCTGGTTTTGTTGACGTTTCTGCTACATCCCCTCCGAAGTTCAATATTATGATAACATGAAATGAATTCTTTATTTGTCACATTCTTTTCAAATGAGCCCTATACATATTTTCATCGTGTTCACGTGCTTCATCTTCGGATATCTCGGATGCATGGTATGAACAAATTTTTTTGGTAACCGCAAAAAATACTTCATCATACGCTCCTGCATGTATTATAAGTAATAATTCGCCATTCATTCCGACCTTCAAACTCTCGTTTGTTCGTTAAAAATAAATTGTTTGCAACTTTCATTTTGTTGCTATTCGCTGAATCATTTTCATTGCTTATTGTTAGCTACAGTAGGTTGATAAATTTGAGAAACGCGATCGCTCGTTGAAAGTGAGATTGACAATGGCTGATAACAGTTCTGATATATCAGCTGAAATATTTCACGTTCACATTTTCTGATAATAAACGAAGTATGATTCTCATGATAGCGATCAGGCAACTTTCTCAGTTTTACATTTTTGTGTAAAGTATATTCTGTTGGTAAAAGCTTTCTTCTTTATTACCTGATATAGACATTGATCAAAGTTATAAGTTATCTTTGAGATTTGAGTACTCAGCCAATGTAAAGAGTGAGAGTAAATGAAGTTGTTTGTTATGATGGTGTGATAGTTTGCGACTGAATGACGAAGAATGCAAATAAGTTTCTTTTTTTTTTAATTTCTCAGCCAATAAGCATCCACAATCAGTCGCCATTCCAAATATGAAACGAGTCAAGGAGGGAACAAGTTGTTGCATTGAATATTAAATCTTACAATTAGGTGAATAAAAATTTCATTTTAGTACTACGAACGCTGTGCTGAGTTCTTTGTCGATATTATGTGGCTGAATTCTAAAGAACTCATCCATCGAAGTATCTAGTTGTATTTGATGTGCCTATGCATGTACACTCACATCTTATTCAGCCAAACTTCGAGAGCACGGATGTAAATTTTTTTAGATAGCATCACACTGGGGATTGTTGATAGTAATGTAAGTAAATTGCACTATATGACACTCACAATACGAAGTTATTTGAGGATATATTACTTCTGAAATTGTTTATTGCAAATACTTCTCGCAGTGCATAAAATGGCTGATGATCACCACAGGCGAAATATGAGTGTATCTGTGTGATTCGAATATAGTCCTCTGATTTCATGTCTCTTCTTCATTATTCCTGTAATCATATCGTATATCAATTATCCATTTCCATCTGTTATATCCTAATTAGAACATACATCTACTGTTACTTCAGTCTTTCACACCATTAAAGCGCAGTCGGTCAAAGTTCCTGGAATGTTGAGTGGAATATTTTATCCTGATTTTAACGGTCATCTAACAATGCCCCTAGACGAATCACATAACTTTTTTTTTTCAAAGTGCATGGTGTTATCACTGCAACTCTCGTGATTTTTGCATTGCTGAAAAAAAGATGATAAAATTGTTAGTATTAAATTGGGAACTACGCTTGAATTTGTGCTGTTTGTAATCTTAAAAAAAAAACGCTTCACTTTTATGAAATTGTTTATTGTATTGTTGTTGTTATTGTTTGGTATGCTAATGCATGGTAAATATTGTTGTTTATCGCGTGTATGATGTTATGTTATGATCATGGAATGTTTGTGCTTGTTGGGAATGTTTTGTTTGCGATTTGTTGAAGAAAGTTTCGTTTTACAGTTCATATGAAATATGAATCCATATTCATTTCGAAATTTTTACTTTTAACGAGAAGAACTTTTCGTATGTTTTGAATGTTTTTCGTGGAAAGAGCAGTGCACAAGGTTGCTGATTGCAAATATATGCTTTTAATGATGAATGGAGCAAGTCTTCTATCGTGTGAATAAATGCAATAAAAATTAATCGCAAATTCGTCCCATTCGATAGCGCAGAGGACACTCACGGATATCCTTCTAAACAGCTGAGTTTATTGCATGTCGAAGGTCCGGCATAAAGTTTCTCAGAGCGTAATCAAAACGAAAGAATTCGTCGATGTTCAAAAGTAAGGGTGTGACGCGACTCG